AAGGATCAGTGCTGGGACCTCTGTTGTTTCTAATATGTACAAATGATTTGGATGAAAGTGTCAAAGACTTGATTAGTAAATTTGCAGATGACACACAAATTAGTGGAGATGTGGATAGTAAGGAAGGTTGTCAAAGGATATAGATCAGTTGGAAAGTTGGACAGAGAAATGGTCGATGGAGTTTTATCTGGACAAGTGTGAGGTGATGAATTTTGGGAGGTCAAATGCAAGAGGAAAGTATACAGTAAATGGAAGGACGCTTAGGAGCATTGATATACAGAGGGATCTTGTGGCACAAGTTCATAGCGCTCCCTGAACGTGGCAACACAAGGGGATAAGGTAGTAAAGAAGGGAACCAGCATTCATTGGTCAGGGCACTGAGCATAAAAGTTGGCAAGTTATTATACAGCTGTAACATACTTTAGTCAGGCCACATTTGGAGTATTGGGTGCAGTTCTGGTCACTGCACTATAGGAAGGATGTGGAAGCTTTGGCAAGGGTGTAGAAGAGGTTTACCAGGCTGTTGCGTGGACTGGAGTGTTCTGAGGAAGGGTCACTCAACCAGAAACTTTAACTCTATCTCTTCACAGACGCTGCCAGACCTGCTGAGCTTTTCCAGCAATTTCTGTTTCTTATAGCTATAAGGAGTAGTTGGACAAACTTGGATTGTTTCGCTAAAATGTCGAAGGCTGATGGTAAACTAGATAGAAGTTTACAAAATGAGAGGCATGGATAGGGTGGATAGTCAGAGTCTATTTCCCAGGTTGGAAATGTCAAAATACTTGGGGTCATGGGTTTAAGCTGAGAGGGGAAAAGTTTAAAGGAGATGTGTGAACAAAGTTGTTTTTACACAGAGGATGGTAGAGGTCTGAAACGTGATGTCAAGGGAAATGGTAGAAACAGATACGATAGCAATGTTTAAAAGGCATTTAGACAGACACATGAACGGGCAGGGAATAGAGGGGATATGGACCACGTGCAAAGAAATGGGGTCAGTTCAGAATGGTATTATGGGCGGCACAGACACAATGGGCCAAAGATCCTGTTCCTGTGATGTATTGTTCTATGTCTTATGTTAAAGACTGTAAGAATAATCCCACCAATTACAGACCAATCAGTTTAACTTCAAGGGTATGGACTCGTCTAAAGACAGTTATTCAGGATAAAGTTAATGGTTACAAGAAAAACCTGATATACATGTCCACAGATCATTGAGGACAGCAGGACAGATGGAGAGAACAGTTAGCAAAGTATACACTGTTCGCTGGTTTATGAACAGGGGCATAGAATACTGGACCAAGGCATTGATGTTGAACTTGTACAAGACACTCGTTAGACCTCAGCTGGAGTATCATGCACGATTGTGGGTGCCTCATTATAGGAAAGATGTGAATTTATTGCAGAGAGTGCAGAAGTGGTTTACAAGAATGCTTCCAGGGATGAGGAACTTCAAAAATGAGGATCTTCAACAATGAGGATAAATTGAAGAAGTTGGGACTGTTCTCCCTGAAGAGAAGGAGGCTGAGAGGAGATCTGGGGATAGGGGTTTTCAAAAGTAGGAGCAGGCTGGACAGTAGATAGGGGGAAGCTGTATCTGCTTGCAAAAGAAACAAGAACAGGCAGCACAGATTTAAAGTGATTTGCAAATGAAGCAAGGGTGAGGTGAGGAATAACTTTCTCATTCAGCAAGTAGTTTGAGTCTGGAATGCACTGGTTGGAAATGCGGTGGAGGTGGATTCATTTGAGGCATTGGATGGTTATTTGGATAAATAATTTAGAAGGGTATTGGAGAAAAGGAGATTAGGTAATATAGAAACAGTGCCATAGAAACAGAAAATAGGCCATCAACAGGAACATGGCTGATCATCCAACTTAACATCCTACTTTCCAACTTTCTCCCTATAGCCTTTGATCCTTTTCAAGTGGCAAGTAATATTTACTTTACACAAATCCAGCCAATGACCATGTCCAACAATAGAGAATCTAATCATCCCTGAACATTCAATGGCATTGCCATCACTGAATACTCCACTATCAACATTCAGAACCTGAACTGAACTCATTATGTAAACACAGCGGCTACAAGAGCAGGTCAGAGGCTAGGAATACTGCAGCAAGCAACTCACCTCCTGACTCCCCAAACTCTGTCCACCATCTACAAGGCACAGATTAGGAGTGTGGTGGAATACTCCCCACTTGCCTGGATGAGTGCAACTCCAACAACACAAGAAACTTGACACCGTCCTGGTAAATGCAGCCTGTTTGATTGACACCTCATCCACAAGCATCCACTCCCTCCACCTCTGACCGTCAGTAACAGCAGTGTGTACCATCTACAAGATGCCTTGCAGAAATTCACTCAAGATCCTTATAGAGCACCTTCCAAACCCATGACCACTAGAAGGACAAGGGCAGCAGATACATGGGGACACCAACCCCTGCAAGCTCCTCTCCAAGCCACTCACCATCCTGACTTGGAAATATATCGGTGTTTCTTCAGCATCGGACATTGTCAGTCTACCTACAGCACATGGGCTGCAGCAGTTCATGAAGGCAGCTCACCTTCAAGGGGCAACTAGGGACGGGCAATAACTGCTGGGCCAGCCTGAAATGCCATATGCCCTGAACTGAATCAAGATATAATCACATTCTCAAAAGATATCTTGCAAGGGAATCTCCCTCCATTTCCTCCACTTCAAGTGGAGTTGGAAATGTTTCAGAATACCAGTGTTGAAATCAAGTTGAACATCACATAGTGCAGCCATTCAGTTCATGGCTGTGGGTCCCATCAGATTTCACCCAGCCCAGCAATTAGAAATGAATCTACCCGGAAAGGCACATGTGTAATGCAGAGGCAGGACATTCAAATCAATGTTGGTGAGTAGATTTCACCTGATTGTTAACTCACCTCATCAATAGCTCATTCTATTCCCTTCTCCCTATGTATTTATCCAGCTTCCCTTAAATACACTGAAACTTTCTATGGGAGCGGGTCCACATTGTCACCAATCTCTAGATAAGAGATTTTTCCCGAATTCACTTTTGGAACTTGCAACTATCATATGTTTATGGCACCAAGTTCTGGGGATTCCCATGCAATGTCAAGATATCCTCTCTCCGTCTACACAATTAAATCCTTGCATAATATTAGAACTTCGCTAGAATTCTTTGAGGAGGATAGATAAAGGGAAAACAGTGGAGGTAACATATTTTGCTTTTCAGACTAATGTAAACAGTCTTTGGCCTCTTATCTGAAGAAAGATATATTGATATTGGAGGCAGAGAAGGTTCTACCAGTTATGGATGGACTGTTTTATGAAGAGAGGTTGAGTACATTAGGCCTATACTTACAGGAAAAGAGAAGAAATAGAGACGAACTTATTGAAACATGCAAAATTCTTAAGGGACTTGACAGTGTAGATGCAGAAAGGTTGTTTCCCCTTGTGGGAGAGTCTAGGGTCAAAGGGTATCATCTCAGGATGAGTGTCCATTTAAGACAGAGATGAGGAGGAATTTCTTCTCTCAGAAGGGGAGTGAATCTGTGGAATTCTTTCCCGCAGAGGTCTGTCGAGCCTGAGTCATTAAGTATATTCCAGGCTGAGACAGACAGGATTTTAATCAGCAAGGGGAATTGAGCCTAATGGGAAAAAGCAGGAAAGTGGAGTTGAGGATTATCAGATCAGCCAGGATATCATTGAATGGTGCAGCAGACTCAATGGGCTGAATGGCTTACTTCTGATCCTATGTCTTATGGTCTAACAGTATCAGGGCTACCCAAGTTATCTCTTTCCTGGACTAAAGGTCCCTTGCTTTCTCAACCTTGCATTGTAGGATTTGCATTCTTCAGTTTTATTTGTTTCCATTGCATTACCATACAGCATGCAGAATTTTACCTAGTTTTCCACCCAAATTAGATGCAATAATTAAAGACTAAAGATTGGTGTGCATGTCCACAGATCCTTGAAGGCAGCAGGACAGGTGGGCAAAGTAGTTAAGAAGGCATCTGGGATAGTTGACCATATTAGTTGATGCATTAAATACAAGACCAAAGAGGATATGATGGAGTGTGCATTTCTGGTCACCACACTATAGGAAGGATGTGACTGCACTGGAGGGATTGCAGGAGCAGTTCACCAGGAACTGGACTGGAGCGATTCTACTATAAAGAGAGACTGGATAGTCTGGATTTGTTTTCCTTAGAGCAGAGAAGGCTTAGGGGGATCTAATTAAGGTGTACAGAGTTCTGAGCAGCATCAATAGTGTAGATTGGGAAGAGGGATCAAAAACTGGGGCCACAGATTTAAGGTAAGGAACAGGAGGTTTAGAGGGGAAAAACATTTGTGCACCGAGGGGGAGTTCTGTATCTAGAACTGACTGCCTGAAATAAAATCAACTCAACGGGAACATTCAGCAGTTTTCCATTTCCTCTGGTAAAAGCAAGAATCTCCACAACATTTAAGTAGTCAGATGTGCATTTGAAATGCCATAACATACAAGGCATTGGGCTAAGTGCTGGAAAGTGAGATTAGAATCGATGCATGTTTGATGGCCAGCATAGACTCAATGGACTGATGAGCCTCCTTCAACAGTGTTAAAACCCTATTGTTCACTTGGCCAGGCATCACCTTAATTGCAACTTGAAAGAATAAAGAAAAAGAAATTCTGACAAACCATGTAGTTATCACTGGCATTTATTGCCCAGAGGACAGTTAACAGTCAACCACATTGCTGTGGATCTGGAGTCACATGTAGGCCAGACCAGGCAAGGGTGGCAGTTTCCCTCCATAAGTGAACCAGATGGGTTTTTACAACAATCGGTGATAGTTTCACAGTCACTATAACTGAGACAAGCTTTCAATTCTAGATTTATTCAAGTTACAATTCCACCAGAGTAGTGGGATTTGATCCTGTGTCCCTGGAGTAATAGTCTGGATTCTCTTGATTACCCATCCACTAAGACATCACCCTCTCCCCAAAAGCAGAAAATAAAATCAACTTACTGCGAACATTCAGCAGTTTTCCCCTTGCTCTGGTAATCCATTATGCATTGGATAAGATGATTGTTTTCATCCAGTAACTAATTAAAAAAAAGTAAAGGAGAAAATGAGTGCAACAGGCAAGTGTTCACTAGTTCTCACCTAGTTCCTGCACATCAGCACACTCACTGTTCAAAAATCTTAGGTCAGTGAGCTTGGGTTTTGATCTGCCCCAACAATCTATCAGATACAGTCCATCCAGAAACACATCCATAGTGATAGCATTTAACACATAACGTTTGGCCATTCGCATAGACCCGGAGTCTTAATGAAACTTTGATCTAGTATTCATCAGGATCAAAGCAAGAATGCCAAATTACCAAACAATCTAAAACGATGTATACCCAAGAAAGAGGAGCTGGTTGTTTGGCAAGTTGATACTGTCTTCATCAACCAGAAATCTTATCAATCAAATGGACTTACTGACCAATCAGCATGCTTTTTACCTATTGTATAAAATTCCAAACCATTAGAAATGTGGCATTCTTGCATTTGTCTTGATGAGTGCAAGATGAGAAGTTTCAGTACTATGTCTCTCTCTTGTCTATGATATGTAGCCTGCTAATCCTGCTTACATAAAGTGATTTGAAATAGGGTAGAGGTACCAGAATAGATCATTTCACCCACTCCAAGACCTATTTCCATTACAGCATTGAGGGGTGACATGATAGAAGTCTATAAAATCATGAGTGGCATGGATAGATTGGATAGTCAGAGTCTCTCTCAGGGTAGAAATATCAAATAAGGGGCATATGTTTAAGGAGAGAGATGGGGAAGTTTAAAAGGAGATGTGTGGGGCATGTTTTTGTTTAAACACAGAGGGCGGTTGGTGCCTGGAACACGCTGCCAAGGGAGTTGGTAGAAGCAAATACAATAACAATGTTTAACAGGCATTTAACCAGCCACATGAACAGGCAGGGAATAGAGGGATACAACCATGTACAGGCTGATGGGATTAGTTTAAAATGGCATCATGTTTGGCACAGACATAGTGGGCCAAAGGGTCTGTTTGTGTGCTGTACTATTCTGAGCAATTGAAGTCTACAGTGAGCCTCGAGTGCAGTGTTGAGGGACTGGTGCATTGTCAGAGGTGCCATCTTTCAGATGAGACATTAAACGGAGATCCTCATCTGCCCTCTCAAGTGGGCAAGAAAAGATTTCAGGAGCACTAATGTGAACAGTAGTGAAACTTTCCCATGTCTAGGAGCCAAACCTATTCCTCAATCAATATGATTTTAAAAAAAAGGCAGTCTGAATAACACCTGATTGCTGTTTTTGGGAGCTTGCTATGCTCAAAATGGCTGCGGCACTTCAACTATTCGGACCAGTGCAACACTTCTGAAGTATTTCATTGGCTCTAGAATCTTCTGGGACTTTGAACGGTGATGAAAGCAGCTATAGAATTTTTTTTTTAAGAAGTTCTTTTGTGGAACATGGGTGTCTCTGGCTGGGCCAGCATTCATTGGCCGTTCCTAATTGCCCCTTGAAAAGGTAGGGGTGAGCTGCCTCCTTGAGCCGCTGTAGTCCATGTGCTGTAGGTAGACCCACAATGCCCTTAGGGAGGGAATTCCAGGATTTTTACCCAGTGACACTGAAGGAACAATGATATATTTCCAGGTCAGGATAGGGAATGGCTTGGAGGGGAACTTGCAAGTCTTTCTGTCGCTCAACATTATTGTATTTATGAAGTGTCCAACTTCAGGATTGTGTGCTGAGGAGTGTCCATGTTTCCCAAGGTGAATGCCACTTGCAAATAAGTAATTGTCTACAGCAAGTAGACATTGGGAGAGGCGGCAACATAACAACCTGCATTTGCACAGTGTTGTGTAAAGGGCACTTCGCTGAAACTATAACTAAATTTGACACGAGCCACAAAAGGAGGCATCAGAACATGACCAAAGGCTACTTTTAACGATTTGTGTAGCTGCAGCACAAGAGCCCTCTGTGCCACTCACTAAAGAAGGTTACTGTTTCTAACGGGGATTGCTCCTCATTGCTCTGATCAGAAGATGCCACCTCCCACTCAGTGACTCCCTTTGCAGACTTGCTCTACACGTTCATGAACATTGTCATGCATTTCGACCAAGTCCTCTTCCACATTAGCTCAGTCTTCCGCAACTTGCTCCCAACAGCAAATCTTCACATTGCACTTGAGACGTCAGAAGCCCAAAATCATTTCTCGGGATGAAGAGCAGCACAGATCCCAGTGGAAAAGCCCTATTTCCACTGGGCGGTGGAAGTTTTCTCTCCTGTTTGGTCACCATCTGTCTCTACATTTCGTGGCTTCTCCTTACTCCATGTGCCCTGATTTTAGGCATGTGTCTACACTGTGGTACCTTATCGTCATACACTTCAGAGTTCACTGACATCACAACCTATGCACTATACAAGTCTACATTTTGTTAATTCTTCAAAGGAATGAAGGAAGTTGGCAAAGCAAAAACCACATTAAGGATCCTTAGGCAACACCTTCCAAACCCACACCTTCCAAACCCACGATCACTTCCATCTAGTAGGGCAAGGGCAGCAGATACTTGGGAACAGCATCCCCTGCAAGTTCCCCTCCAAGCTACTCACCATCCTGACTTGGAAATATATCGCTGCATGTTCAGTGTCACTGGGTCAAAATCATGGAGCACCCTCCCTAAATTGATTGCAGAATCCCTACGAAAACTGCACCAGCTCAAGAAGGCAGCTCACCACCACCTTCTCAAGAGCAACTCAGCAATAAATGCTGGGCCCTGAAGGTGACACCCACATCCAATGAATGAATTTTTCAAAATTTGCAAAAGGGCATGAGGAGATGAGGATTGGTTTTCATATTGCATTAAAAAATTCAATAGGAACTTCTAAAGGTGACAAATATGCAGTTAGGAGTCAACTACTTTGCTGTGGGTCTGGAGTATAGTTTTAGATTCCAGATTTTTATTTATTGAATTTAAAGTCGAACAGCTGTTGTGATGGGATTTGAACCTGCAACCCCATAGCCTGGATTATAGGTATACCCTCACTACCAACCATCTGCCTCTGTAAATTTGCATCTAACATGTTCACACAGAGGAACAGGATTAGGCCATTCAGCCCCTTGAGCCTGTTCTGCCAATTAATGAACTCATGGCTGATCTGTGACTTAACTCCATATACTTGCCTTAGGCCCACATTCGTTAATAATTTAGATACATTTTTGTTAAGCAATTTGTTTATCTTTTCCTGTTAATATCTTGAAGGCTTCGATCAGATCACCCTCAACCTTCTAAATTTTAGAGAAAACACGTCTAATTTGTATAATCTCTCCTCATAACTTAACCCCTGAAGTCCAGGTATCATTTTTGTAAACCTACGTTGTACTCCCTCCAAGACCTGTATATCCTTCCTAAAGTGTGCAGCCCAGAATTCAGCACTAGACTTCAGTTGAGGAACACTGAGTTACTGGCTGAATGCGTTGTATTCTTTAAGCTTATTTTAAAAGCCAGGACTCTTTGTGCCTTTTCAACCACTTTCTCTCCTTGCCTTCCAGAAATGGTGCACTCACCAACCCCCAAATCCTGTGCAGCCCCTTGGAGAATAAAGGCTTTCATTTCATCGCAGAGACATACGGTGTAGAGCTGGATGAACACAGCAGGCCAGGCAGCATCAGAGGAGCCGGAAAGTTGACGTTTCGGGTCGGGACCCTTCTTCAGCAAATTGTGTTTTCTTTTTTTATCGTGTTCCTTTCATTTTATCATGTCCCTTTGCTTTCCTCAGACTTCTCCACATCACATTTCATCTGCATTAAAACAGATCGAACTGAGGATGCTGTAAATCAGAAAGTTCTGAAGGTTGGGGGTGGTCACTGGACCCAAACGTCAACTGATTTCTCTCCACAGATGCTGCCAGACCTGTCGGGCTTTTCCAGCAATTTCTACTTTTGTGTTAAATTTCAGCTGCCCCTTCCAGTCATGTCCTCTCCAAGTCCATGACTACCCTCCTCGCAGTCCACAATATTTCGTTTCATCTGAACAATTTTAAAAATTGCGCCGTTGGCCAGGCCAAGTGTAGCTGAGCTTACCAGACTTGGAATTGCCAAGCTGGGATTTGAACTCAAGTCTCCAGCTGAAGCAGCCAGGCTTCTGGGTTTAAACCTGCCCCAGCAACATGACCCAAAACGTAGCCCGTGACTTGGCAAAATAGCTTGGCTGCGGAGAGGAGACAACCCAGAGGGGAAATGCCAAAGGAGCAACGCGAAACAGGACAGACTCGGGAGTCAAACCTAAACTGTGCAGAAACTGCTATTTCCAGCACAATAAAAAAAAACACGAGTGTAAATAAACATCTCAGCTCAGAACAAACAAAAAAAAAGTGATCTTGTTGTAAAATTGATTTAACAGAAATTCCCCCAAAACGCGTTACTCGCTCAAGATCACACATCAACTCGAACAATTAAAGTTGGTTGAAATAAATAGAAAAAGCGTAAAATCAAATCCATCGGCAGATCTAAAGTATTCTTAAGGGGTGGAGAAAAGGGGAATATTTCAACTCAAACCAGCCATTGCAAGAAAAAAAAACCCTCAGAGAGAAAAAAAATTACTGGAGACGGATTAAAAGTTAACTGCCAACCCAATTGTACTTATGAGAAAATGATCATTTCCTGGCGCTTGTGAATTTCGCTGAGCGAGGTTGGACTTAGGAGTGAGGTTGTAAAAGCTTCAAGAAGCTCGGGGGGAGGGGGGAAAAGACAAAGAAATAAAATGTTCTCCCAAAAACAGTTGAAGACCTTCATCATGGCCGCTATAGCAAGATTCCCCCTCTCTGTGAAGCATTTCTTCTTCGTGTCTGGGTGAGTGCATAGGAACCCCCTCCCCCCACGGAATCTTAATTTTAAAACAAAATACACAGGGAAGAAGAAAATGATTTTTGTTCCCTGCTGAAGCTCAACAGGACTCGGTACGAATACAAAGGCTTCATGATCTGATGCCCCCTCCCCCCCGGAGTGTGTGTATAGGTTACATTGTTGCACGCCTGCTACAATGTAACCCTCCAGCGTAACAATCTGAGCGGATACATTGTCGCAACGTTCCAAAACTCGCTACATTACCTTCTGAATGGCGGCAGGTGTAATTTCACCTTTCCCGCGCTGCCGGGGAGTAGCAAATGCAACCGACATCGTGCTCTGCTCTGTGTATGGAGTTGAGACTATTTCTCACCCTTCCACTCCTCTCTTATTTCTCCCCCCCACCCCTCACTCCTCACTCCCTCCCCTCTCTTCACCCACACAGCACACAGAATGCAGCAGACATGGTAGCAACTCCTCCTCCTTGGAAACAGGCAGCGCTCTTTTTCTTCCCCCTTCTCTCTTCAAAGAGATTCTACTATATTTAAAAAAAACTCTCTTGTAGCTGTGGGAGGAAGGGGAAATGGCAGAGTTTACACCCCTCCTCCAGCCCCAACACTAAAAGGCGTAAGGTAGAAAATGCACACCCGGGCTGCAGCAAGAAGTTGTCAGCAGCTGTGCAAGGAGACAAAGAGGGCTGCAAGTGCCTGCATTATTTTGATCCAGTGCATTTTCAGTGACTGGGGAGACAGTGCAGTATTTTGTGTGCAATTTCTAATGAATCAGTCAGCTGAGGATCTCCCCCATTAATGAATGAAGAATTCCTGGTAAACTCCTGCCAGTTACACTGCAACCACTGGGGATTGTGTGGATGCAACAGCAAGCAATTCCTACACAGAGTAAAGCAACAAATCCGAATTAGGCTAGAGTAAGACATGAAATGCATCCCACGACTGTAACCACCATGTAGTTTACTAATCAATGAAGCCAGACATTCCCAGGCCTCTGCAGTTGACCTCAGTACCCACCCTGCCGACTGGAGACAAATGGTTCATTCCTTCTAGCTTCAAGACCAGAATCTGGAGCAGGGAAGACGGGTTTTTTTTAGCAGCGATGGAACCAACATTGCAATGAAAGTAGATGCTTTTCAGCATGCTCAAACAGTAAAGGGGGTCAATTAATTTAAAGATACATAATGTTTGCAGTCCGTAGCTGTATTTTGTGTCAGATCGCCCTGACGTTATGAAGCTGGATTTCGTCCAATCCTCCCCCTCCTCTTTGTGGTTCCTTCCAGCCCGGAGCCAAATCAAACTAGACCCAGTGGTCGGGATAGGGGGTGCGAAATACCGATGTATAGAATACACACACTGCCCCACCAAATTTACGCAACGAGTAAAAGAAAACTGAAGAATAATCAATCACTCCCTTTCAATAATAGGATTTTCATTACTGTTGCTGTGCGTTAATGATATAACGGAACGATATGATTCCTACTACCCCTCCGGAGAAGCTGTTTAATTGGTGAAGTCCATTGGCCACAGCTCCGCCCCTTCCAAAGGTGCGTGCGCAGTGGGGGAACCTTTATTTTTGCTCCCTGTGCCGGCGGTTGGCTTGTGCGCGTGCGTTGTGCCGGCGGTTGGCTTGTGCGCGTGCGTTGTGCCAGTAGTTATGGCTGGAGGGTGAAGTTGGGGGGGTTGGTGTGGTGATCGCAGCTATGGCGGCTAGGTATGACCGAGCTATCACTGTGTTCTCTCCAGACGGACATCTGTTTCAAGTGGAATACGCACAAGAGGCCGTGAAGAAAGGCTCGACAGCGGTGAGTCTGCGGCAGAACCGCCCCACCCCGGGGACAGTGCCCCCCCCCCCCCCCCCCCCCGGGACAGTGATCCCACACATCTCTCCCCCCCTCCAGGGACAGTGATCCCACACATCTCTCCCCCCCTCCAGGGACAGTGATC